ATCTGGGGTTTTGGCCAAAGGGGATGGTGACATGTCCATGTGGCCAAATGTGCCTGCTCTAGCCTGCAGGCCCCGTTCCACCCAGCCCTCCTAGGCTTTTGCACCACCGGGAGAGGCTTTCCTTTCTCTTTCAAGTAGCCCACCACCTGATCAATACAGGGATTTCCCACTGGGAGGATCAGGACCTCCAACTCCCCTTCCAAGCTCTGAGGCCTCGCCTCTGCATCTCCTGCTGCTCAGTGCCTGGCTACTGTAGGGGCAGTTTAATGCTTTGGGCGCCCTTGGGGGAGTAGCCATTTGCCAACTGCCTGCCTTCCCTCTGGCCTTCCTTCTCTATGTGGTACAGAGAACCACTAACAGCATCAAAAGTTATAAAGAATTTATTAAAAAGAAAATGTTAACAAGCATACTTTTAGCACAGCACCAGACTGAGCAAGGAATTCAAAGGAAATTGGTAAAAACACAAATCCTCTGTCCCTTTCTCTATACATGCCCTTACAGATGTCAAAATAGGACAGGTTCTTTAGCTTAGCTAGTTGCAAAACTTTACAAAGTTTCCTCTACCTTGAGGATCTCTCCTGGCTCTTCAGGTAAGCACGTGTTCAAAAATGGCTGCTTGCTTACAGACCCCAGCTAAGAGTTCTCCTGGCAGCTTAATCCCAAAGAAAGACAGCATCATCTTCCTGCCAGTTGGTTTTATTAAATCTCTGTCTCCTCCCACTGACCAGGTCAGAGCTTTTCCTGTAGGTTCTAGAAATCCCCTTCCTGATGGTCTCTCTGGCATTCTCAGTCTTCCAAATCTATGCCCCCTGCTAGGAGAACGGGGTGGGGGTGGTGTGAACTGGCCCATCCCATTGTCTCTCCTGCTAGATCCATTAACATGTGTATGAAGGTCGCTGATCTTCCCCTCTCCCTGCCTGTCCAAAGGAAAAAAACCTGCAAAAATGCATCGTGGAGGTTTGGGCTTGTTGCCAACCTCCCAGGAGACAATGCATTTCTCCACACGTGACATCATTTCTACCCCAGCCCCCTCTTTTCCCCCCCCAGCGCAGACTCGGGTGCGTGAGAGGGCCCAGCTGGCAGGAGAACAGCATGCCTGGGCTTTTGGTCTGATCCAGCAGGGATGCTGTAACCTTTGGAGCTCCAGAGTTTCAAGTCCCATAGAAGTCTGAAATATGTTGGCAGCTTTTATAACCCCCGAGGCTCATGCATTAACAGTCAGACCCCTCCTCCTGCAGAGGGGAAGTTTATGGGTCAAGAAAGAGACAGAAGCAATGCTCTTAACATCACCCCAGAACCTTAAGTGCAGGGCACTGCCTAGGCCAAAGTCAACAAAATGGATGCCAGCCAGGCAAAAGCCTGGGAAAGTAGTTTCAAAGTGTGAGTCCGAGTGGCTGGCTGGCTGGCTACTGGCCCCTCCTCGCCCTAGAGAGATGCATAATTTAGAACAATGGATCACCCAGGACCTATTGATTCACTCAGGGGCAATCCCCTCAACACACAAGCCTGCTTCCCCCAAACCCACTTATTTTAATTTAGCAATGATTAATCAGTGATTACTCTATTAATCAATGATTAATCTATTTACCATCCCTCATTACCTTTCCTGTCCAGTGCTTGTAGAGCCATCAAGCCTCTCCCACGCCTTTGTTTACCTCCGGTAGAACCATTATTGTCTTCCAGCAGTGTGTCAATCCACCTCAGGGTACATTTTGCCCTATAACTATGCCACTCTGCTACCCAGCTTTGGATTTGTGTGTCTTGAATGTGTCTTGAATCCCTCCTCACACCCTCACTTGCGTGTGGGCTCTCTTTCGCTTCCTGAACCCTCCTTCGAATTTATACTTCTACGGACCTCTTCAGGATTGGTAATTATCACCTTTCCCTAAAAAGGTTTCCCTTTTCCTCCTTGTATGTGTTTTATGGTGTGTATGCATTCTTGAATTACCCTTTCCATAAAAACCTTACCTGTTGAACAACTGCCTGGCTATGTTCTTTTTAAATTTAATTTTATATTTTTAAAGGGATGCAGAATGGAAAGGGGGGGAGGGGAAAAACACATAAGGAATGTAATTATTGAAGATAAAATATAAAGGGCAATTTTACAAATGTTAAGGACATTCCTTAGGCAAGGTTTGTGTGTGTGTGTACACAAAATAAAAACATAAAAAATGACATAGCTTAAAATATATGACATAACTTATATATGGCATCATAGCTTAAAGATATATATATGACATAATAGCTTAAACAATCAGTGTAACAACCTACTCAAAATATTCTACCTTTTTCTCTTAATATAGTATCTTTTATATTCTGTCTTTTCTATTAGCATGAATACCCTGAATATAAGGAAGCTTCATGCACTTGTATATAAAAGGAGATGGTTGGATGGGGAATTAAAATGAGGAGGAGAAAAAGCTGGAACAGAAAAAGAACATATGGCGCAGAGGCCTATCATTGGCTATTGGCCAGAAGATATAGTCCAACACTCTGTGTCACACAGTGGCCAGAAATACCAGTGCCATCAGGAGGTCCAGCAGTGGGGCCAGGACATTAGAAGCCCTCCCACTGTTGACCCCCCCAAGCACCAAGAAGACAGAGCATCACTTGCCCCAGAGTCCCTATCTATACCTTGTGGCTAATAGCCACTGATGGACCTCTGCTCCATATGCTTATCTAATTCCCTTTTGAAGCTGTCCATGTTTGTAGCCTCCGCCATTTCCTGTGCCAGTGAATTCCATGTGTTAATCACTCTTTGGGTGAAGAAGTACTTCCTTTTATCCATTCTAACCCTTGTGTAACTTGTGCTTCTTTTCTGCCTCTCCTACAATTTACTAAAACAGGGCAAGGTTTCACACCCCTGGGAAGGGGGTGCATGAAGCAGGGAACCAACTAGCAGATGGAATAAGTCATGGCAAACACCCTTCCCCCTTTTGTCTCACTAACAGGCAGTGGAGAGAAGCTGTTGAGCCATTATCTTTTCAGAGGTGTGGAAACGTCTGCTGCACGTCCGGTCCAGGTAGGAGAGATAAGCAGGGGACAGTCCTCTCCTTTCTCAGGGGGACATTTCTCCCTGCAGTCGCTGGAAGGTGTCCAGGCAAGAAAGGCTGTGTTTGCCCATGCCAAGCTCTGTATCCTGCATACTATGGGAATGTTCCCTTCCAGTGTCAAGTCTCTGCCTGGCCTGATTTCTGGCAATGGAATCTGCTTTTTCTTTCAGTGTCCCTTTTCCTTTGAGGAGGTGGCCGTGTATTTCACCGAGGCAGAGTGGACCCTGCTGGATCCAGGCCAACGAGCTCTCTACAGGGAAGTCATGCTGGAGAACTATGGGAGCATGGCCTCTCTGGGTAAGTGTCACGGACTGGAGTGCAGGCAAGGCGAGAGAGGGATAGTCCGGGTCCAGTCCAAGGTCGAAAGCCGAGAGAGCAGGAAACCAAAATACCAAGTCCAAGGCACAAACCGTAAACGTTGTCGTTAAGCCAGAGTCCATGGGGTCAGGAGCCAAAACACCAGAGTCCAGGGCACTAATCAAGAGCATTGTCGTCAGAGCCGGAGTCGAGGAGCCGAGAGTTCAAAGCAGGAAACAGGAACATGGGCGAGGTGAATGAATGAATGAATTGAATTTATTACAGCGCATAGCCAGCAATATAAAACCATACCTACAAATATTTATCATATAAATAGATACATGGGCGAGGTGGGTGCAGAGTGTCGTCAAGCTGACTAGTTGCTAGCTCAAGGGATCGACCTAGAGTGAGGAGCTAAATATCCCTCCGGGCTGTTGTCAATTACCGGCCAGCGCGTGTGTCCCGGCTCCTCTTAGAACTCAGGGCTGAGAGACCACCTGCTGCGCAGGTGTGCCTCTCGCCATCGGGATGCAAAATCCCGCCAGTGCTGATCTCGCAACTGGGCCACCGGTGGGGGCGAATCAGGGGGGCTGTTTGACGCGCGTTGTTCCGCCTCAGCTGTTGCCGGAGCAGCCTCTGCGGCTTCATTGGGGCCAGGTGTAGCATCTGCCGGAATTGGGAGCTCATCCTTGGCAGTACTAATGACAGAAAGAATCTTTCATAGGTGCCAAAGGCGTGAATTGCTGCCACTGGGATGATGCATGAATCAAAATATTGAACAGCAATGCACCATTTTGAAGTCTGTCCTGCTACTTGTCCAGGGGCAACTGTGGCCAGTGTTGTGGCCATCACTCAAGCTATAGAGGGTGTCCTGGCCTGAGGCAAAGGGAGGGCTGAGAGGCCCTCAGAAAGACAATGAATGGGGTCATACTAATTTCTCTGTTTTCAACCTTGACAACACACCCTTCCTCCAGAGGGGATTGACTGCCATCTGCCCTGACTCTGATCTGGAATGGATTCATCCCCCTTATACTGGTTGGGATTGCGGGTTTTGATCTTGACCATGTTTTGATCTTGACCATGTTTCTTCTTGCTTGGATTTCTTTTCCCCCCGATATAAGAATTTTCTCTCTCTCTCTCTCTCTCTCTCTCTCTCTCTCTCTCTCTCTCTCTCTCTCTCTCTCTCTCTCTCTCTGCCAAAGAAGAAACAAATATAAGAGAGACTGTGGTGGAGACAGACATAAGCCTTGTGACCGAAGAAGGGCTGGAGAGTTTCTCAAGAAGATCTCAGGAGAGGATTTCCTTCCCAAATGAGCTCACTGAGAGTGGGTATCTTTCATGTTTATGTCAAGGGAATGAGCAAGGAATAGCCTTGGGCCTTTTCTGCTTCACTTCTATGCAACTCTGGGATCTGGAAGCTCAGAAGCTCCTTCTGGGCAAGAGCTCAGCCGCGGCTCTTAAGGGGCCATGGTATCCTTAAAAACTGGATATTCTGGGGAAAGGTGGGCAGGGAAAGGTGGGCAGGGGTTAGTTAAGATCAGCCAAGCTGGACATCAATCCTTTCCTACTGCAGTCACCTGCCCTCCCAGGTGTTAATGGGATCTCTCTCTTTATTCCAGCAGAGGATGATCAGAGGAATGAGGAGGATGAGGAACTTGATCAGCAACTGTCAGATGAAGTTAAAAATGAAGACTTCAAAAAAAACTTCAGGAAACAAGGCAGACCCAAGGGGCAGAAAGGCAGCCAAATGGTCAAGAAGAGGGATCAACCCACTCCTTGCCAAGGGGGGGATTTCCAAAAAGTCATTCACATGGCGGAAGAAACATACAAGTGCTTGGAATATAAAATGGACTTCTCAGAACAAACCCAATATAATGTCCAGTTCCATGAAAATAATTTCAGTTTCAGTGGCAATCTTCAGCACCATCTGAGAACTGACAGAGGGAATAAGCATTTTGAGTGCTCAGAGTGTGGAAAGACATTCAGTCGGAGTTTCAATCTTAAACAGCATCTAAGAACCCACACCGGGGAGAAACCTTTTGAATGCTCAGAGTGTGGAAAGAGATTCAGTGACAATTCTACTCTTCAACGGCACCAAAGGACCCACACAGGGGAGAAACCTTTCAAATGCTCAGAGTGTGGGAAGAGATTCAGGCACAGTTCTACTCTTCAACGGCACCAAAGAACCCACACAGGGGAGAAACCTTTCGAATGCTCAGAGTGTGGAAAGAGGTTCAGTAGGAGTTCCCGTCTTCTAGAGCATCAAAGAAACCACACAGGGGACAAGCCTTTGGAATGTTCAGAGTGTGGAAAGAGATTCAGTCAGAGTAGCCATCTTCAACAGCATCAAAGAACCCACACAGGGGAGAAGCCTTTTGAATGCTCAGAATGTGGAAAGAGATTCAGGCACAGAGGCAGTCTTCAACAGCATCTAAGAACCCACACAGGGGAGAAACCTTTGGAATGTTCAGAATGTGGAAAGAGGTTCAGTCAGAGTAGCCATCTTCAACAGCATCAAAGAACCCACACAGGGGAGAAACCTTTTGAATGCTCAGAGTGTGGAAAGAGATTCAGGTTGAGTGGCACTCTTCAACAGCATCAAAGAATCCACACAGAGGAAAAACCTTTTGAATGCTCAGAGTGTGGAAAGAGATTCAGGCACAGGGGCAATCTTCAGCTACATCAAAGAACCCATACAGGGGAGAAACCTTTTGAATGTTCAGAGTGTGGAAAGAGATTCAGTCAGAGTAGCCATCTTCAACAGCATCAAAGAACCCACACAGGGGAGAAACCTTTTGAGTGCCCAGAGTGTGGGAAAAGATTCAGACACAGTGGCGCTCTTCAGCTACATCAAAAAACCCACACAGGGGAGAAGCCTTTTGAATGCTCAGAGTGTGGAAAGAGATTTAGTCGGAGTGGCAAATTTCAGCTGCACCAAAGAACCCATACAGAGGAAAAACCTTTTGAATGCTCAGACTGTGGAAAGAGATTTAGTCAGAGTGGCAAACTTCAACTGCATCAGAGAACCCATACAGGGGAGAAACCTTTTGAATGCTCAGAGTGCGGAAAGAGATTCAGTCAGAGTGGCACTCTTCAGCTGCATCTAAGAACCCATACAGGTGAGAAACCTTTTGGATGCTCGGAATGTGGAAAGAGGTTTAGTGGGAACGGCAGTCTTCAACTGCACCTAAGAACTCACACTGGGGAGAAACCTTTTGAATGCTCAGTGTGTGGAAAGAGATTCAGTCAGAGTGGCACTCTTCAACTGCATCGAAGAACCCACACAGGGGAGAAACCTTTTGAATGCTCAGAGTGTGGGAAGAGGTTCAGTCGGAGTAGCAAACTTAAACTGCACCAAAGAATCCACACAGGGGAGAAACCTTTTGAGTGCTCAGAGTGTGGAAAGAGATTCAGTTGGAGTAGCACTTTTCAAAAACATCTAAGATCTCACATGAGGAGAAACCATGTAACTGCTTAGCCCCTGAAAAGAGCTTTTCTCCTATTTCACCTGTAAAAGACAACCACGGACCATACAAAGTGTTGAAATGATGTAAACTGTTGTGAAGAGCTCGAATACACAGAAATCTTATCCTAATTGGGAAGAAGTGTTATAACTGCTTGGACAGTGGAAAGAGCTTTAGCCACATTCAAAACCTCAAATAGATCCCACAGGGAATAAAACCAAGGATGGGGATGGGGCTCTTTGGGTTGAAGGATCAGTTGATATCTCCTTTAGCTTCAAGGAGGCCACCTAGGGGAGGAACCTTGTCAGTGCTCTGTATGTGGCAAGAGGGAATACAAAAGGAAAAGAGGGATTATGTAACGTATATATCAAAATTATTATACATTACAGGGTATGTAAAACAGAAAAGAAAATATTTCACCCCAACATATCCATTATAATTTTAAGACATTTTCTGTGGAATACATTAGCCCTTACTTCAAACATTTTAAATTTCAAATTTCATAACTGATTAATTTTGCAACTTTATTATTGGTTTCATGATTACTACATATTCTGTTACATATTTCATCATTTCTACATACTAGCAATAGCTTTTAATATTCCAAAGTGTAAAAGAAAGTCTATTATATATCTCACAATAAAAGTTAAAAGATATTTTTGTTCAAAATCCACTTCCTTATACATTTATATTCAAAACGTGTTCTCATTCTCCTTCCACATTGTAATACATTTATATGCATAGCAATAATTTAAATGCAATTTTTAAACTGTTTCTTATTTTAAATTTGTGTTCTGCTTGCATAATAAACACTCCGTCTTTCGTCACATTTTGAAATTGATCTGTTTCTCAAATATGTTGTTAATTTTGCCATTACTGCATTATCAACAAGTTTATTTTCCCATTCTTCTACACTTGGATAGACGTCTAATTTCCATTTTGTTGTGTAAATTATTCTAGTTGCTGTCGTCATATATTTGAATATCTCTTACAAAACGTTTGGTAAATTATTGGGCAATATTCTTAATAGCATGTTTTTAGCTTCCATAGAGAATTTAAATTTTAATATGTTCTGCATTTTCCCATGTATTACCTTCCAATATCTCTCTTGTAAAAGGTTCTATCTATATCATAACATTTCCAACATTGTCCTGTAATTTTTGTCTAGTTTATCAATATCCTTTGGGGTTATATACCATTTGAAAAACACTTTGTACAAATTTTCTCTTAATGCCTGACTGGCTGTGAACTTAATTTCTTTTTCCCATAACCATTCCCATTGATGCATAGGTATTTGCTCTGTAAAATTCTGCATCTGTTTAATCATACATTTTTTCACTTGTTCTTCATCTGTTTCTGACTGACATAATAACTTATATATCCATTGTAGTAAATGATCTTTTTGTTTTGTAATCAGCTGTTCAAACTCAGTCATATCTCTTGGGACTCCACCTTCCATGTTAATAATTATCTTTAGTCTTGAAACTGATTGGTGATATAGCAACCATCGAATATTGATTCCTTCATCTCTGATGTCTTGCCAGGACTTAGCTTTCCCCTGAGCATTTACCATATTAGCATACATTAGAAAATTACTTTTATTTCTCATATTCTTGTTATGATAAGCTTCTATTGGGGACATCAGTGGAGAATTTGGAGGGCTCAATAAATTCCGGTATGTAAACCTTATTATCAAAAGTCCATCTCTAATTATATGTGTGTGTGTTATGATCATTTTGGTTGATATCTTTATAGGTAATTGTGTAAACCTTCATCTAGGTCTGCTGATTCAGGTTTTACTATACTTTGTCTTGGATTTTTAATCCAGTCCAGACCAGGCCTGCTGCTTGGTAATATAATTTTATATTTGGAACTGCTAACCCTCTTCTCATCTTGTAGTATTTTAAAATTTATTCTTGGTTTCTTGCCATTCCAAATAATTTTTTTATCTGTCTTTGTCACTCTGTCAATATATTTTCTTCTATACATATATAGAGGTAGCATTTGGAATTAAAATAATTAATTTTGACAATATATTCATTTTGATTGCTGAAATTCTACCTGGCCATGAGATTTTTAATTTTTTCCATTTGGATAAGCCTGCTTGTATCGATTTCCAGGTCGTCTGATAGTTCCGCATTATGGATTTTCCTGATGCATATAAATTGTTGTTTCTACTTAACAACACTGGTGACAATATAACTGATTCAGTGGCAAAAATTTTATATGTTGCCATTTTTATACGAAGCAATATACTGTAACCTTGGGATATTTTAACTCATAATATTTATGTATTTGTTTAATGTTCCCCCTCTTACAATGCCAATAAAGGTATGATGATGATGAACATAAGAACATAAGAGAAGCCAATGTTGGATCAGGCCATCAGGAGGTCCATCTGTGGGGCCAGGACACTAGAAGCCCTCCCACTGTTGCCCCCCCCCCCCCAAGCACCAAGAATACAGAGCATCACCTGCCCCAGCCTGTGAGTCCCTATTTATACCTTGTGGCTAATAGCCACTGATGGACATCTGCTCCATATGTTTATCCAGTTCCCTCTTGAAGCCGTCCGTGCTTGTAGCCGCCACCACCTCCTATGGCAGTGAATTCCATGTGGAAGAAGTACTTCCTTTTATCTGTATTGTTCTTGTATTGTGAGAAAGAGATGACGACGACGATGATGATGATGAAAAGATTACAATTCTGTCCAGACACATTTATCCCCAGATATTTGATAGACTCTTTGGTGCAAAGCCTGTTTGATCGGTATGTGTTAAATTTGGTATGTATTTTTAAAATCTTTCTGCCATTATTGTGGCAAAGATTTTATAATCTACGTTTGACAGAGAGAAGGGTTTATATTACTGTGATAGTGTTGTATCACTGCTTTCTTTATATAGTAACATTATATCTGCCTCTTTGCCATATTAGAGGTATTGCCTTTCCTTCTTTTATCTCATTCATCATGCTTTGTAATGGTATCATTAAAACGTCTTCAAAATGTTTGTAATACATTGCTGTCAGCCCATCCAAGCCTGGTGCTTTGTCCTTTTCCATATTTTTTTTATTCCCTGGGAAATGTCTTGAATTGTTATTGTTTGGTTTAATTTTTTTCTATGTTCTGGTGTAAACTTTGTAATTGGAATGTCTTTTATATAGTTTCTTATTCCTTTTTCTGAGACAGGCTTCATTTTGTATAGTCCTGAGAGGGTGTTGATAAATTGTTCTTGTATTTCTTTTTCTGCATATGTAATTTGGTCTCCTTTCTTTATACATGTTATTACTCTTTTTTTTCTTTCTCCTTCCTAAGACAAATTCCATGTTGTTCTGAAGCAGCAGAACAAAGTTTGAGGCCAGTGGCACCTTTAAGACCAACAAAGTTTTATTCAAGGTGTGAGCTTTGCACACGAAAGCTTACAATTTGAATAAAATTTTGTTGGTCTTAAACGTGCCACTGGACTCAGAATTTGTCTTTCCTAAGACATCAACTATCTGCCAGGTTTGTTCGCATGTTCAAAGTGCCTTTGTTTTAAAATTTTTATTTTTTTCTCTACCTCTTCCATTTCTAACGTATCTAACTGGTTTTTTAATTGGCTGGTTTCTGCTAATGTATCTGTTGGAAATTTTTTTGTGTGCTCTTGCTCCAATCTCTGGATTTTGACTACTAATGTCTTGGTTTGTTCTGATTTTTCTCTTTTCCTCTTGAGAGCAACTGCTAATAAGATCCTGCTTATTTGGAAAGATCCTTTCCAAATTGTAGCTGAGGACATTCCTTCTGTATTATTTTGAAAAATTCTTCCATATCTTTTTTACACTTGTTTATTACATCATCTTGTAATAAGACAGCATCATTTAGTCTCCATCTTCCTCTTAGTTTTCTGTTCCATGGCCAAACTACCTCTATACGATTATGATCTGCAAATATCTTTGGTTGAATCTTTGCTTTATCAAGATTCATTGTTAAGCTCTTTGATATCCAACACAAGTCTACTCTTGAGTATATTTGATGTCAGAAAAAAATGTGAAATCTCTATTCCTGGTATGTTTGATCCTCCAGGCATCTTCTAATTTCAGCATTTCCAAATATTGAAATACATTTTTCGGTAGTTTCCCATGTTTAAGGTTTCTGGATCTGTCCATCTTTGGATCTAAAACTCTTTTCATGTCTCCAAAAACCATTATATCTTTGTCTTAAAATTCGAGCATAGTTTGGAAAAAAATCTCAAAAATTTAACTTCAGCTTTGTTTGGTGCATAAAAAGGTAAAGGTCCCCTTGCTCGAAAGCCAGTCGAGTCCGACTTTAGGGTTGCAATGCTCATCTCCGTTTCAAAGCCGAAGAGCCAGCGCTGTCCGAAGACGTTTCCGTGGTCATGTAGCCGGCATGACTAAACACCAAGCCGCACGGAACGCATAGATTGTCACTATTGTGCATACCTTGTCTTCCAGGAGTCTCGTTTTTTAAAAAATTAAATATCTTCCTTCTGGATTTCTTCTTCTATTACTTCTAATTATGGGTTATATATATAAATAGCTACTCTGCCCTTTTTATTTAAGGCTGAGGTAAGATATACTTTACCTATTTTTTATTACTTAGAATATGCTCATTTTTCTTCTTCATGTGAATAAAGCTGCATTTTGCTTTTTAAGTTGGTTGAAATTTTTTGTAGGTTTCATAGGAGAATTCAGTCCATTACTGTTTACTGATACTGATTTTAATTTATCCATTTTGTCCCGATGTTGATGCCATGGCAGTTTCTTCTCCTGAGCTCTCAGGTGAACTTTACTTTGAGTTACTTGAAGATGTTCCTTTAGTTGCTCTGTATGGGTCCTCTGCTTTCAGTTTTTCAGCTAATAGCTTAGCTTGTTCTTCTGTTTTAATTACTTTCCTTCCTCTTGGTAAGTGAATCTCTATTGCAAATGGTATTTTGGAGTGGTATCTTATTTTTTTTATCATGTAGAATCTGTCTCAGAAAGTTATCATCTTTCTTTTTCCTTAACATGCTTGTTGTTAGATCCTGAAATATCTGCACTTTCCCCCCCTGCTACTTTGAGTGGAG